ACCTCGCCCACATCCCCAGGCCTCACTCTGAGAACTACACCCCCCTTTTGATCTGGTGCTCCTTTAAGAATTATAACCATCCCACATGACTCAAGCTCTGGTTAAATCCCTGCAGGCCCAGGTGGAAAACTAGGAAGGAGCCAGTACAAGATCATGAGGATCTCATAAGCTCCATGTAACCCCAGAGGTCTTTTGACTTAGCCAATCACTCAGCTATGATAATCTGCAGCATTGTTTTAAACTTAGCGCAAGCCAATGATCCAATAGAAGCTACTGGTTGAGAAACAAGCACTAAATGTAGGTTTCCTTGATCTAACACCATTCCCTCAAGAAGTACAGCACTGGAAAGGGGTTATGCATACTCCTTCTTCTGATTTCCATACTCTCATGCATTTTTATACCAGGAATCCAACTCAGGACCTCCTTTCCTTTGCCAGGCAGGCACCATGCCACTGAGCTATATCCCTGGCTTCACGCATTCTTTTTTAGGGATTTTTTTTTGTGTGTGTGTGTGTGTGTGTGTGTGTGTGTGTGTTACAGGGTCTCACTACACAGTCCAGACTCGTAGTGATCCTCCTGATTTCTGCCTCCCTAGTGCTGGGATTATAGGCATGCACCACCACGCCCAGACTCTTATCGCCAGCTCAGTGAGCCCAGGGGCGGGACCAGCACTGTATGTGGAGCCAGAGATAGAACCCTGGTTCCTGTGCTTACCTAAGCAAGCGCTCAGTCTGCTGAGCTATGTCGCTGGCCCTGCCTCACGCATTCTTAATGCTGCTGCAATCTAGTGTCTGCTCCCATCAATCAACTGAAAGTGATCTTGCCAAAGACAAAGTTACTTGAGGGACCTCACGATATTTTTGAGTCTTTCTTTACAACTTACACTAAGTGGCATCGTGGCATTCTGTCACAGCTAACCTGATGCTTGTTCTTAGTAAAATAATGATGTGTGTGTTATAATTAACAGCATATTAGCCTTCTGAAATGGTGTTATTGCAAATAAAAATGGTCTCATGTAACTATATGACATTGAGAGAACAAAGAAAACCAAGGTTGAAAAGGAGCTACTACTTGTGGTTTATAGTTGCCAATAAAATATAAGACACTTAAATTAGAAGCAAATAATTTTTAGCATTAATGTGATCCATGCAAAATGTGGGATACACTTTTTCTAAAAAATTATTCATTTATCTGAAATTCCAAACTCACTGCTACTCTGTAATTATTTGTGGGTGTTCTGTTAGGGGATCAAACCCAGAGCCTCACATGTGCCAAGCAAGTGCTCTACCACTGAACTATATACCAGCCCCTTCGGTTTGCCTCTTTCTTTTTCTGTTTTTTGAGGCAGGGTCTCAATATGCAGTTCAAGCTGCTCAGGACTCTTGTGACCCTCTTATTTCAGCCTCCTAAATGCTGGGATTACAGGTATCCACCACATGTAGATATTTATTTATTTATTATAGCATCTTGCTACACGGTCCAGGGTGGCATCAACCCTAAGATCTCCCCGCCTCGGCTCTGGAGTGCTAGGCTTACAGGTGTATACCATCACACTTGGAAGTGTTCTGTATTTTTAATTACTAAACCTGGGAGCCTCTTGCTTTACAAAGGTATTTCACAGGGCTGGGGAGATAGCTCAGCAGTTTAAGCGCCTTTCTGGCAACCGCAAGATCCTGAGTTCAATCCCCGATTCCATACACACAGAAAAAGGTACTTCATAAAACATATTTTGTCTTTTGTGCTTATGTGTGTGGTACTGTACTGAACCCAGGACCTTTACACTAAGCTCTATCACCAGCCTTTAAAAAAAATTTTTTTTGAGGAACTCAGCCATTCAGCTTACCAGCTAACCAAACAAAAGACAGAGAAATTGTTGTTCTCCAACTCAGCTTTTTTTTCCCATTTGGGTGAAAGTGGTTCTAGCACCTGCACTGAACTGAACAGTAGTAAAGCACTAAGGCCCAACTCATCCCACTGCATTATCTTCTCTCAGCATCCCCCCAAGCGAACAGTAAGAAGGCCTCTCTGGAGAAGGGAGATGTGGCCCTTAACTACTTGATGGCAGAGGCAGATGCTGTGAGAGACTTCTAGGAACCTTTTCCTTCTCATAATGAAGTCAAAGCTCTATGTATTGTGTGA